GCCGTGACGTCTGCTGGTGTTGCTCCATTGTGTCTGATCAAGTCCAAAGTCAATGCAGCCGTCTACCAGGAGAATTTGGAGCACTTTATGCTTTCAGCTGCTGACAAGCTTTATGGAGATGCTGATTTCCTTTTCCAGGAGGACTTAGCACCTGCCCACAGTGCCAAAACCACTTCCAAGTGCTTTGCTGACCATGATATGACTGTGCTTGAGTGGCCAGCCAACATGCCTGACCTGAACCCCATATGGAATCTATGGGATATTTTCAAGAAAGATGAAGAACAGTCGATCCAACAATCCAGACGAGCTGAAGGCTCAGCAGTGCCACAGGCTGATCGCTTCATGCCACACCTCACTGATGCTGGAGTTTGTGCTAAAGGAGCCCCGACCAAGTGTGGGTGCAGAAATGAACACACTTTAAAGAACTTGAGCTTTTCTGTTTTGCAAATCCTTTTTTTGATTGATCTTAGGAAATATTCTAATATTTTGAGATACTGGATTTTTGACTTTCGTGAGCTGTAAGCTCTAATCATCAAAATTAAAACCAAAAAACGTTTGATTAAAATGTTTTACTTTACATGTAATGAATCTAGAATATATGAAAGTTTTACTTTTTGAAATAAGTAACACAAAAAATTTACTTTTTCACGATATTCTAATTTTTTGAGATGTACCTGTACTTAATCTTATTTTATGTTACATGTAAGACTGAAAGTCATATCGGTTTGGAACGGCATGAAGGGGAGTAAATCATCATTTTCATTTTTGGGTGAACTATTACTTGAACGACTTCCTGTTCCGCCAGAAAATTCAGCAAAGCAGACCAGACTTTATGACGATAAGTGGGCTCTGCATGACTAGAGTTTATTTGACAGTTAAATCAGCTTACAGAGACGCCAGATCAGACTAATGAAGGTTCCCTCGGTATCCGTCTGTCTCTCTCTCACACACCTCAGACAGCACAGTCTGTCTCTGTCACACACACCTCAGACAGCGCAGTCTGTCTCTCTCACACACACCTCAAGACAGCGCAGTCTGTCTCTCTCACACACACCTCAAGACATCACAGTCCGTCTCTCTCACACACACCTCAAGACAGCGCAGTCCGTCTCTCTCACACACACCTCAAGACAGTGCAGTCCGTCTCTCACACACACCTCAAGACAGCGCAGTCCGTCTCTCTCACACACACCTCAAGACAGCCCAGTCT